CTAAAAGCTTTTTGTCTCATAATTTGTACACAGTATTCCCAATATTCGTGCGGGTAGGGCAATGAGCATATTTTATTTCAATCTCACCTTTGATATAAAAAGAAGGTAACTTCGGTAATGTGAACATGAGGACTTAAAATAAGACCAAAGAACTCTAAAAACCGCAACCAATGTTCGTGCCGTAACAAAATCAAACAGTGAAAGTGTCGTCGTCTTTCCGTCCGTCGATCACGGGTGTCGAGACAAGTTTGAAAAAAAGACGTTCCTAACATTACATTGTGTGTGCTAATTGCTATGACGTCAAAATAATGATGGATTAAGTTCAATGTCTATGTGGTAACAGTTTTTAGAGCATTGTCTGTATTGTTTGATTGGACGCTATAAAAAAATGTGGTTATAGCAGAGCGCTTGCGCCGACCCCGATTCTAAGATGGCTTCTGTTTAAGTTTCGACTAACTTTTTACTGGTATTACGAACATCTGTTACGTTAAGAGATGACGAGAGTGAAATCGAGACCCTCGCTGTATAGACTATCTATATGTATGTATTTACATATATATCTCAATGTGACTCAACTCCCCACTTTGGACCGGTATCTTTAACAACAACTGATACCGGTTAGAATTCCAAATTAGGTGATCAAAGGCATGGAACTTTCGAGCAAATGCCCAATAGTTCCCCAGGTTGACTTAATAGTTAGTTGGTACCTATATTAGTGAAGATAAAGATTACAGTATGAAAATCAAGTCGAATCATCTGCTCCATTATATTTTTGAAGGAAAAATTCTATAGGCAAGCTTGACTTGGGGGTAAGCCGGGGTTACGAAAAGTGTGTTCGGGCGAGGCGAACGGGAGTTGAGTGGGGTATATAAGCAAGAGAAAGCAGTCTTTCTCTTATAGCTATTAAATGAAATATGTATATTCACACACATGTATATATTGTATATGTAGGTATATATACATACAGATGGAGCTAAAGAAGTTTCCCTTTAGTCGTGTGGTCATAAGCACACTCATTTTTTCTGTATGTACGAGTACTTTAGTAAAAACTTGTTAATTATAGTCATCATCCTTATTATTATTATACTAAAATTTTACGGGCGAAGTAAGAGATCTTTGTATGTAAGTTTATATGATTGAGGAGTACAGATAGCTTACAGTTTAAATATAAATAATTTAAAGGACTTTTGGAACTTCACTATTGAAGAATACCCCGCGGCGGACAGAGATAATTTCTATCTTATTTTATAGACCCTTAGCTATGTTGACCTTCAGCATTTTTGTAACTCACGGGAATATTGAGATATAACGAGAATTATATCTTAGCCCAGTTATTCAACAAAAAGTGAAAGCGTGTGCTTGCAGAACTATTTGCTGCCCTGCCTACCCTGACAGGGACAAAGAAGACCACCAGTATTTTTACTCTGCTTAAAAAACACACTAAAACGCCTTTTGACGACTACATGCAACTAAATAACAGAAGAAAAACTCGTATATGCAAAACTGTACAATTAAATACTCCTTTTGGTCGAAGTTTTTACTGCTTTTGGGTTCTTTCTTATATAATAAGATTAATAAAAATTACTGTCTTTTCAGACTCTCAACAATGTTCTTTGTTGGAAGAAAATTTCGGATTGGCTCCAGGATCTTAGACATGAAGCGACAAACAGATAAACTACTAAAAATTTTATATTAACTTTCGTATAACAAATGTTTCATAAGTTTAAATAAGTTCTTAAACCCTCAATTAACAAGTACAAAGGTACAAAACACAATTGTTTAAAAATGGAACAAAAAATTAATAGTTCAGTCGATTTAATAACAGCGTCTATGACTTATAATTTTATTGTAAAAATTATGGGGAATGGCGTCAGATGCTGAAATACAGGTTCCTAACCTAGTTCGGCTATTGAACTTAGTGTAAGTTAGAATTGAAAATTGTAATTTAGTATACTAAGCTAACTAATTGGAATAAATGATGATGATTATGATTATTTTTAAAGGGACAAACAATTGAAATGACATTCAATTAACTCTGTACAGTGACATAATTGTTCTAATTATACCAATTTTATTTTGTAAAAGAAGAAACGCCACCCACGTATATTACGCAACCAACTCTACCAAAAGGTAATTTGGCCTACTGTGCCGCCGAAGTATACAATTGCAATTAAATAGCCATTGATACTTTTGCCGAGTCATGTACCAGTTTGAGATAACATCGTAAAAACACATTGGTCACATTGGCAAATCACACCTTATTACCACGTACGCATACAACTTTGACACCAATTTGACTCCGAATCCAGAACACATGTATAGTTACATACAGTACTTACAATATGTATGTATGGGTTTCGCTAATTCTTTCTATACATAATACCTAAACGGGTCGCATTTGTAAGTGTTTTTCATTTTTAGTGAAAACCTGAGCCAATATACTAATCGATAGATAGATACCATCGGGCTGGCTTTGATATTTACAAATAATCAAAGTGGGTTCATATTATGCTTGTTTGTTGTGTTGTTGATTATCACTCACATGTTGTCTATTTTTTTTAATGTTAGGTAAATGCAAGACGCATTTCCCTGGACATCCTCTGCTCGAAACCAATCCAGTCCTGTCTGCTCGGGGCAATTGAAGCGACCTCACCCACTAATAATCTTACAGACTTTTCCCTCCGGAATTCTTGGGATAAGCAGACTTTTCACGTTAGGGGTTTGATCCGATTTCCTAATCCGTAGACCACTAGACACCTTTCACACTTGCAGAAACTCAAGAATACCGAAAGGAAGTATTTATATATTACTGTGGTATTCTGAACGAGAAGGTTAATCCTGCAGACAGGTGAACCAATTCAAGCTGAAAGAATCCGTCCTAAGGAAAGGGAGGGCACAGCGGATCTCCCGCTCAAATTGAGCCCGTCTGGAGAAGCAACCTCCACCTTATAGGAGACAAAAGTAAAATAACACTTCTTTTTCATGGTGTTCCGTTTCTGCTGTTCAGTAAGGTTCCAGGGCTAGGTTAGGGGATTCAAGCCGGCAAAATGAGGATGGCTGGAGCGGCACACCATCAGCCGCATCATCTTACTTCGCGACTGGACTTCACTTTATATCTCATTACATTCACACTTAACATCAGATGAATTGGGGTAATTAATTGCGCCTCATATATAAAAAACTGGTCTACCTTCCTTACACTTAAAGGTACTTTACTTAATACCACATTATCACTGTTTACACCAAATTTGAATAAATATACCTTTTATGAAGTCCGTAAATACCTATATAATTAATAGCAAGAAAATAACAGGTATTCTATACACAAAAATGAAAATGTAAGTGGTGATCAGTTTTTACGCGATTTTCACATTGTACCATAGTAAAATTAACTACACGAGCAACAAAACATTAAAAAAATATTTGAAAGTATAAACTGACACTTATTTCGTACGTCACAGTGTAAGAGAGCGATAACTCGAGATGTTATCTGGTCCGCAAGCCACATAGCGAGTAAAGAGAATTAAAACGTTTTTGAAATCATTAACATTAATGGTCTGTCAGAGAAAAATTATCACAGCATATTAAAGAATTGTCATAATATATTGTGGCTTTCTCGAAAGAAGGAATAAGGAAAAATGGCATAGTAAAGATAATTAAGTATGAGTACTTATATGTACATAATTAGGTTCAAAGTGTAGATCTTTTGAGAAATTTATATTTTAATTCTGAATGTCTAATTTCATTTAAAATAAGATGAGATAGATATACATTTCCTTTACCAGTGTTTTTGAGAAGAATATTTCACGTAAAAGCCCTGAAGTAAAACTTTATCATGACATATTTTAATTTTTTTATTAAAAAAAACTAGGGTAACGGATAGAATACATATATAAGTTTATTTATACGGAAATACATATTATTTAAACACCAATGACTGGAGTACAAATGCTAAGAGCATTTCATCACACAAACATCTGCCCCCACCGTGATTCGAATCCGGGACCTCTAGAATTGGCGACACCATGAAACCCAGCCATACCTCTCGGCTACGGAGGTCTTCAAACATTCATTATCAGTCGTCATTGTTTGTTATATTTAAATGTAATTACAAACATCTACTTGAAATGTAGGTAATGTATGCTAAGTATTTTGTTAGATATCTAAACAGTTTAATTGAATTCTCTTTGTAATCGATCAAATATATATTTATAGATAGAGATTTCAAAATGTTTTTCTCAATGTTAAACCTCATTTAATAAAAATTAAACTCGAAAATAGCTGCTACAGGCTACTACATTTTTGTTTTAAAAGTCTCCATGGAGTTCATAGTTCATTTACATAACTTGGTAGGTACCAATTACTGACAGCTTCCTGAATTTTCCCACATAATTTTATTATCTAATTATGATACTTATTTGATAAACATACCTTCTTTACGTGCGCAGCGGAACTACCGTTTTTAGCTCTGTGCATCGTGCAACCGCATACATTTATTCATAAACATAAACTCATATGCCGTCCCATTTGCGATGACATTTAACAGGAAGGAATCACGTTTCATGAATATGAAATTAAATTTTTATGTACCAGATTGGTAGGACACGTATCGATCCAAAGTACATCGTTACGCTATGTTTGCGCTATGCAGATTACAAGTGCAGCCAACCGGACAGTCCTAGTAAAAGAAGCCTTATGCCTCGTAAATTATTTAATTAAAATAGCAGTAACTTTAATAATTTACACTTTAAACTAAGATCTATCAGATGTTAATTTATTTCTCGAAGAAATGCACAAAAATTTTACAAACATAAGTCACGTCCTTAAGCAAAAAGCACCTACTTATTTTGTAACGCGCGGGGTAGCGGATTGGGTCGGGGTAGGCAACAGCGCGAATGATATTTTTGGTGTTTCAAGCGTCTATACGCTAAGGTGGCTTACCATCAGGGGCCAAAGGCTTGTTTGCCATCCTTTTAACATAAAAAATATTGTTCCTCTAGATGTGCGTTTGAAGAGAAGCTCAAGCCATGCGCAGCGACATGGCGTATCGTGGCTTGTCGCAGCATGTGGAGCTGGACCGGGCGGCCGACCCTCGCGACCGGTTCACGCTGCAGGAGCTCATAGGCGAGGGCACATATGGTGAAGTCTACTGCGCTCGGGATAAGAGGTCCGGCAAGAGAGTCGCCATTAAAGTAAGTCTTCTATTTCCATTATTTACTCCATAATAGGCTTTGATGTTCGAGCCATTCGCATCGACAAAGCGTATTGTGACCTATCGCAGCATGTGGAGTTGAACCGGGTGGTCGACCGTTCGCGCTGCAAGAGTTCATAGGCGAGGGTATTTATGTTGAAGTCTACTGCGCCCAGGACAACAGGTCTGGCAAAAGAGTCGCCATTAAAACACACTCCTTGTAACCTTTTACGATCGAGCCATGCGAAGCGACATAGTGTATCGTGGCTTGTCGCAGCACGTGGAGCTGGATCGGGTAGCCGACCGTCACGACAGGTTCACGCTACAGAAGCTCATAGGCGTGAGCACATTATGGTCAAGTCTATTGCGCCCGAGACAAGAGGTCCGGCAAGAGAGTCGCCCTTATTGTGAGTCAACCTTTTCGTTTATATATTCACGACTGACATGTAACTTTATGTAACTTTGTGAGCTTGGCAAAGTATCTGAGATTTCTTACACTCCCTGTCGTCACAATTTCCTTTGACCTAAAATATAGCTCATAAACAAGCAGACTGTCAGGCCATAGTCTACAATAGTTTCGAAAAGTACGTATACCATGTTAGTAGACTTATTAGCTGTACTGGAAGTGTACGCTTTGTTGGTAAGTACTAAGTTTCTTCCAGTCTTAATCCGACATGAGAAAACTAGTAATCCGAAATTTAATAAACATGACATGATCAAAAACCATCCGAAATGTATTGAGTTTCAATCTTTAATTGAAAGCATTCTTCTTTCTTAATATGATAGAGATTCTCTGACTATCCAGATCGTTAGCCGTACGTTGTACAACTTTCTATATTATGCCGAAAATTCAAAAACAAATATTTTATTATATGTTTACATATTTGCAATAAACGGCGACAATTACATAAATATTCTGTTATACAATAGAAATTCTGTTATTCCTCGTGTCCTCCATCCCATAACTTACACTTTCATTAATTTGGAGAGAAAGATTTTTGAGCAAACTCTTTAAACGAAAATATAATATGGAGATTTTGTGTATATTAATGAGCTAATTGACTATCTCATACATAATGCAACGTTCTTCCGTTCCATTATTTATAAGCTAGCCAATAGGAGACTACTTACTAACAACAGCGACGAGAATGGAGGCTTGCGGGCAAAAACATTAATAGGAGGTATTGTTAGCATAACATTTATAATTGATGTTTAGATAGTATCTCAAAATGGAGTATTGATGTCAAGGTCGCCGAACAATACATATATAGCTTTGTTGGTTATCTGCTCTTTACAGCTTACTGTCAACATTTTGTAACTGCAATAACCATTACGAATGATGCCGAGGCAATAAAAAAATATGTTCATTGTTTGTTTTTAGATTTTAGAAAATATCACTGAAAACATAGAAGAAATTGAAGAGGAGTTCTTAGTTTTCCGGGATTTATCAAGTCATCCGAACATACCAGAATTCTTTGGACTATTCCTAAAAAGAGGCTTAAGCTCTGACGATGATCAAATATGGTTTGTCATGGAAGTAAGTTACTGTTTTAATTTTTTTTATCTTTAGAAATCCATTAAAAAATCATATTATTTCACCCAAAACAGACAAGACGCTTAATTTAAGTTTCCTGATATCCAATCTTTTTTTCATTACCTGTGTCATCAAGAAGTACAGCTATGCACCTATAAGTTACTCAAAAACAAAAAAATATTGCAGCTTTGCACAGGTGGTTCAGTGACTGACTTATGTTCTGGGTTGAGAGCTCGCGGGAGCAGCCTCACTGAACCGCAACTGGCGTACGTTTTGAGAGGAACTGTGCGCGCTCTCACGCACCTCCACGCACACCGGTGCATGCACCGTGACGTCAAAGGTCACAACATTCTGCTCACCGAAGACGCGGAGGTCAAACTCGTCGATTTCGGCGTGTCCTCGCATCTGGCCGCTACTGCGGCAAGGAGAAACACATCGGTTGGAACTCCTTATTGGATGGCTCCAGAGGTAACTGATATTCCTTTATTTCGGGTTTTACGAAATTCGATCTCTCTTCATGTTTTAATGGTATACCTTCCAGAATAACGATAAATTAAAAATACTGGGTTATTTACAGTCTGCTTTTAAATTTCTTTATTGTTTAATTAATTTATTAACAAAATTAGGCATTCCTCAATGTTACTGATAGTTTTCATATAACAAGTCTTAACGATAGGTGCTACTTAAACTATTTTTGGTTATCAATGATAAAGTATATTTACACGTTTCAGGTTATAGCATGCGAACAACAGTTAGACCAATCTTATGACTGCAGATGTGATGTGTGGTCAGTTGGTATCACGGCCATTGAGCTGGCGGAAGGCGAACCTCCTTTATCGGGACTGCATCCAATGAGGGCTCTGTTCCAAATACCTCGAAATCCTCCACCATGTTTGACGCACCCGGACATGTTTTCACCACAACTTGTAGATTTTATAGGCGATTGCCTTATAAAAGATATGAACCAAAGACCTTTCGCGAGGGAACTTTTGGAACACCCGCTAATGCTTGCAGTGAATACTTTTGAAGATAAGGTAATTAAAAATCACATACATTATGATAGCTTTTATATCAAAATTACTAGCACATTATTTTTTTAAATTTTAGATACGCAAAGAACTTCAGGCAGAGATAAAGAGACAAAGAGCTGAAGGTCGCGGTAGTCGCGCTCCTGAAGCCACCACAAAACGAGGCAAGTTGAAGTCCCACAGAAAGGCGCGCCCTGAGAAAATGTACACCGATGACCTGGCGACCCTCGACGTGCTGACCGAAGAGGCCATAGTCGAGCAGCTACAAAAGCGATACAATCAGAACCATATATACACATACATAGGGGACATATTGGTCGCAGTGAACCCTTTCACTGACATTGGAATTTATACTACTAAGGTAACTAAGTATACAAATTGTTACCATTGAAAAAGCTTGCAAAATTTTGAAATATTCTAAACGGTTTTTCATTCACCCAATTATTTGATATAACATTGTGGAAGATTTTTTTTTGTCCACGTTATTTTTATACTGTCTTTGACGATGATATACAATAGTTTTTTTATGTTATACAATATTATCTTTTAGAGTCAACAAATTTATCAAGGACGGTGCCGATCCGATAATCCGCCACATATTTACGCTGTGGCTGATGCTGCTCACCAAGCTCTTCTTCATCAGAAGGTGCACCAAGCGATAGTTATCTCTGGAGAAAGCGGTGCCGGCAAGACTGAGTCCGCCAATCTTTTATTGAAGCAACTTGTGTTCTTGTCCAAGGTATTATTTTAATCTTTCGAAAATTAAATCGCATCCTTTTCAGGTCCGTCGTCAGAATTCTGATTTTTATTTACTTTGTTGAGCTACCTTTCACACACATACATTAATTTCTAGTTTGTTGAAGTTGCTATATAAAAATCATAAGCTAATAACACTTTCTTTAGATATTAAATGCCACATTAAATCGCCACTGCCGGCCCAATACATCAGTATGCAAACACAAAATTATATTTATGAGTTGGCGATTTAACCTGCAGATATTACGGCATGTTTGAGATATTTAAATGATTAAAACAACACACGGACATAGTAATAGATAATAATTATTGTTATCTTTAATCTTAGCTTAATATACGGCTTAGTGCGCTTATTCGCTTAGTCATATTACATTTTACAAACAAGCTTAATTTCATTCTATTGGTGCCATAGTTACCGCTCTATTGCGCAGTCACCGAAATAAGTAGAAAAAATGGACATTGACATTGAATTCATAACGTAACGTCTCATAGTGGTATGAAAACATTATATGGATCATGACAAGATCATGAATAATTTATTGTTAGTGCAAACAAAAGTGCCTTTATAAAAAAATAACAAATTTTCAGCTTTCTAATTTCACAACGACATTTTACACCGAGAAGTATCGCATTTTCTATTTCAATTCCATAACTAATCCAAAGCCTGTAAATTTCATAACCCATGTCTCCGCTTTCACTTATATTCTTGCTTATTTTAATAAGACTTTTTTATTACATGGAAATCGACATTAAAAAAGAACATATGTTGAGGTCATGCTGAATAAATTTGTCTCTGAAGAAATTTTAATATTTTTCAGACACAAAACCGGAATTTAGAAGAGAAAATTCTCCAAGTAAATCCTATCATGGAGGCTTTTGGAAATGCTCGTACGGGTATTAACGCAAACAGTTCCCGTTTCGGAAAATATCTGGATTTATCCATGATGAGGGTGGGCAGAATATCCGGTGCAAGAATATCTGTCTACCTATTAGAACAGTCGAGAGTAGTTCACCAGGCATTGTAAGCACAACTTCATATTTTACATAGAGTGACTTTTGAAGCAACCAAGTAGTCGTCCATAAATAAACTCCTCAAAATATGAAGCATAAATATTTATAAATATTTAAAGTATTTAAATGCACGCAAAGCAAACAAAAATATACAATTAACAATTGTGCAAAGGATCCGCTTAGATATTGAGGAATGATAAAGCCAATATTTCAATGTAGAATAAAATGATTAAATAATAACTACCAATAATTATCTTTCATATTAATATTTATGTTCTGGCATGACTAATGACATACAATTTATGATTAATTTAGTTTACTAATAATTACAGAGGCGAGAGCAATTTCCACGTATTCTATTATCTGTACGATGGTTTAGAAAGTGAAGGACGTTGGAGGAAGTTCTACTTAGATGAACAATTGAAATCGCGACATCAGTACTTGCAGCCGTTATCCGTGGTCCATAGGGAGCACAATGTTCACCGTTGGAGACAACTCAATCAGGCCTTTAAGGTGCAGTTGAAGATATTTTAAAGACATTTACGCCACAACTAAACTATTTGACTATAAAAAACGAGATAATCGTTCTTAATACGCAAATAATTCTAATGCAACAAATAACTTCGAATTGGAACCGCTAGAAAAATTTCATGTGTTGTTACAGGTGGTTGGATTTCAAGAAGAAGAGGTACAAATTATATACAAAATGTTAGCAGCTATATTGCATCTAGGTGATATTGAGTTTGGAGAGATGGCTGGCGAAGACAATGCGGATAATAGGGCTACCATAATTGACACTGCACCACTTCATAGAGGTATCTCATTGTGACTAAGATTATAGCAAAATTATCTTTGTTTCCTTTTTACTGGCGGTACAAGGTTATACCTAGCTATAGTGGCCTCTTAGGAATTAGCGAAGAATGAAAAATTCAACAGCATAGTGATTATTTAGCGATGTCCGTAAACAACAGCAACAGTTAGTTGCTGTTGTTTACGGACATAGGTATCATAGGTGCCAACTGCCAACACTCATAAATAAATATGAATATAAGCATTTATTATTTTTATTATTAATTGCATTTTACATTTATTTCATTCATATTATTTAAGTGCTTACATAAAGGTAAACAATAAATCTATTCAGAAGATATAAAGTGTATATCGTTCACGATTAAGTATAATAATTATAACCTTAAACTCTAATACAATCTGTAGTAGGCCACGATTCCTCAAATTGTCCGTATTTCAACAAATGCCTAATGAGAGTTTATGAATGATTGCAAACGCAACTAGCATTTTCTGTGTATTGAAGGGCATTCAATGTATGGGGAACGAGCAATGTCCTTTACCATACGATGTAATGATAATCATCATCATCGATATATTTTTATGTGCCAATTCGATTCCAAGTCTAGCAACATTTTTAGCTAATGAAATAACTTAGTTACATAATTATGTTGTTTGCTTAAAATCACACGGAAAATGTACATTCTGAAAAATATGTGGGTTACGTATTTAGATGTATTATTTTGCCATCAGCCTCATGTCTTCTCGGCGTGGAGACGGCAGATCTACGAGAATGTCTGACCAGCAGTAGCGTGGTTGCCAGAGGAGAGACCATCGCCCGACACAGCTCTCCTATTGAAGCCGCAGTTGCGAGAGACGCTACAGCCCGAGGTTTATATGCTAGAGCCTTCGATAGGATCGTAGAGAGGATCAATGCTTTATTGTGTCAAAATAGACCGCAAGGGTAAGAAAAATATTTTAAAAAAGGCAATTATTTTCACTATTTTTTTAATTTGTTTTTCGACATGTTTATTTGTTTAAAATTATTAAGCTCTATCAACTTTTTCAGTGTCGAACAATTGTCCATTGGAATATTAGATATTTTCGGCTTCGAAAACTTCTCGAAGAATTCGTTTGAACAATTATGTATTAATGTTGCGAACGAGCAGATTCAGTATTACTTCAACCAACACATCTTCACATGGGAACAACAGGAATACATGGCTGAAGGAGTTCCCGTGGATCTTGTGGAGTTCTCGGATAACAGACCTGTATTAGATATGCTACTCTCCAGACCTATGGGCTTGCTTGCTCTACTTGATGAAGAAAGCAGGTTTCCAAGAGCGACAGATAGGAGTCTTATTGGTAAATATTCATTCGCTTTCAATAATAGCAGAACTTAGTTCCAGATTTTACATAACGTTCTGTGTAACACATCCAGTACAAAATTTCTCGTGTGCAACTCAATATACATGCAAATTAATGTTCTTTTTTGCTGATTGCACTTTACTAATTAGAACATGAAATATTTATGACGGCAATATTGTTTGCAGAAAAGTTTCATAATAACGTCAAGAGCAAATATTACGTCCGACCTAAGTCTGATGCAATATGCTTTGCAATACATCACTTTGCCGGCAGAGTAGTTTATCAAGCTGAAGGTTTCTTGGAGAAAAATCGGAATTTTTTACCACCCGAAGTGGTTCAACTAATGAGGCAAAGTCAGTATGACATCATCAGATTCTTGTTCCAATGTCCTATTACAAAAACAGGAAATTTATACTCGCCGCTTCAGGGTGATTTAGATACAAGGACATTGGAAAGTCCAATATGTGGAGACGTTCGGGTAATTTTCTCAAACTAAATTATGTGTATATTTTAAAGGGCGGGTGACACAAAGGGCGAAGTGCGGTGAAATTTTCGTTTTATTTTCTTTTTTAAGATGCATCTATTCATAATTCGGTTGTTAGTACAACTACTAAAAAAACGACATGCGAGAAGTGAAACTAACCTCGGTTTGCTCTCGGTGTGACCTACGCTTAAGTCATTTTTTTTACATCTTAATGTTCTTATCGATATTTTGTTTTTTTCTGTTTGTTTATTTTTAGGATCGTTTTAATAGCCGAGGCCTAGCCTCCCAATCTCGTGCCCAACAAACTGTGGCAACCTACTTCCGATACTCATTGATGGAATTATTACAAAAAATGGTCAGCGGCACGCCACAGTTTGTGAGATGTCTTAAGCCAAACGATTCTAGATCTCCCAAGCATTTTGATTCAGCGAAAATATTAAAACAACTTAGATATACAGGTGTCCTAGAAACTATAAGAATAAGACAGAATGGTTTCTCGCATCGACTGCCATTCGAAGAGTTTATTAAGAGGTAAGTATTTTCGCATTTAATCACCTCGACAGTGGATAAGCAAAATTGCATATACGCTACTTTGTTGTTGCTTGAAAATTATCTTAATTTCAGTTTTTATTTAATGTTAATTTATAAGCAGCACCAAATTGGCGGATTAATTAATTTGGTTTTGACACTGTCGACCTCTTCAATAAAACAAGTTCATTAATTTGTCACCATCTTAAAAAAACAAAGTTCATATGTTAAGTATTTAAATGAAATGTATAATGTATGCATCGTTTTATTTTTCAGGTATAGTTTCTTAGCATTTGCTTATGACGAAGAAATAAAACCGAATCGTGACACGTGCCGTATTTTGTTAATGAGACTTAAAATGGATGGTTGGGCGCTAGGAAAGTCTAAAGTTTTCCTCAAGTATTATCATGTAGAGGTTCTTGCCAGGATATACGAAGAACAGGTAACGTTAACTTAAATCAAATAAAACGTTATTTTAATATAAATTTTAGATGTTTGTGACATTAATGGGTAGACTAGAAGATAAAGAACATTTGCATTGTACCCGCCCTTATAGCATGAAATGATAAAGCAAGAAAACAAGAATGACAGTCAAAATTCATTGGATTTTGAATGAAATAGATTTTTGAAAAACAAAAAAACACCATTGTTTCGGTGTTCATGGCACAGGTGCGATTTTTTTTTTAGAAAATTATATCAACTGATAGCATAAAGTGGTACTTTTAAAAGACCACGCTTATTTGTCCTTATCAATAATTCAAAATTTTCTAAACAAGTCTCAATGTTGGTGTTTTGATCGACTTCAGATTCGAAAAGTGGTGCTGGTACAAGCTTGCGCCCGCGGGTGGTTAGCGCGGCGCTACTACCAGCGGCTGAAGGCGCAGATGGCGATATCTGTGCTTACACTGCAGCGGCACGTGCGCGGCTGGCTCACGCGCAGGAAGCTGCAAGAGCGGCAGCTCGCCAGGGAATTCCAGCGGGAGCAGATGGAACAGGACAACCACAAAAGACATCAAAAATCCGGTAAGCACGCACTTTATTACTTTTACAAAGACTGAAAGTAGATATCAACACTGACGTTTCAGTGTCTAAGATATAGTTGAGTGGCTGACTCACACGCAGGAAGCTGCAAGAGCGGCAGCTTGCGTGAGAGTTCCAATGGGAGCAAATAGACCAAGACAGCCGGATGAAACATCACAAACCCGGTAACCAAGCCCTCTATTGCTATTACAGCGGCCGAGGGTACAGATGACGATATCAGCACTGACTCTTAAGTGACTGAAGACACAGTTAAGCGGTTTACTCACGTACAAGAAGCTGCGAGAGCGGCAGAGACGGAGTAAACATAACAAATCCGGTAAACACGCACTCTATTACCATTGCAGCATGTGGAGGTACAGATGACTATATCAGTACTGACGATAAAGTGACGCATGCGCGGCTGACTCATGCGCAGGAAGTTACAGGAGCAGCCGCGGCAGCTTTCCAGGGAGTTCCAGCAGGAGTAGATGAACCAGGACAGCTATAGGAGACATCACAAATCCTGAGCGGATTGATTTGGGCTAGGGGTAACTGATCTTTTTTGAGCATGTAGATGAAGTTTAGGGTTTTTAATCGGTCTAAACATTACATCATGTCTCAGCAAAGGATTCTGCTTTACAAGCACAAATTAGGCCCCACATTCAGTACTGCTCATATCTCTGGACTGGACTTCCCACATACCAGTTGAATCTCCTTGACTCTATACAAACACGCGCGATTCATTTATTACCTGGAATCACTGTTTTTGATTCTAGAAATATTTATTTACCACGGACAACAAATTATGGAATGAACTCCCCTTTGTGTGTCAGGTGTTCACTCAGTACAAGGTAACATAACTTACGGTACTTTAAGGGAGATTTAAATAGAATGTTTCATTAACGGCAGTGGTACGGCTTTGTTATTATTGATGTCCATGGGCGGTGGTACACTTAACATCGGAAGGTCCGTCAACTCGTTTGCTTTCAAAGGCAAGCAAGGTATGCACTCTATTACTATTATAGCGACTGAAGGAACAGATGTATCGGTGCTGATACTGCAGTGACACCTGCGCTGCTGGCTCACGCTCAGGAAGCTGCAGGAGTGACAGCGGATGATAACTGTAAAGTAATCATCATCATAACTAATCATAAGCCTATTATGGTCCCTACTGCTCGAAACTTAATATTAATTACTAAGCAATCAAACAAAAGTAATCGTATCGCAACCCCAACTTATGATATCCTTGATCTGATCTGACCTGCCAACTGTGGTCTTCATTATCGGTTTTGCTTAATCAGACAGCACATTTCGAGATAAAATGGACGAGTTACTATTAGAAGAAACCAAATGGCTATAAATGAGCCTATATTGTAAGAGTTTCCTTGATTCTCCAGGATCGCATCATCAGATCTTGACATGATGACCATTGGACTTATTGGAAAGGATAAGAATTATAAACAAAATAATTATTTTTCTGAATAGGTCCTGGCGTATTCGAATAATCGGGGAAAAATATATATATTTTAAAAAAGATTTCGCGGAATTGTTAACCTCTACCTTTTTTGAAGTCCGTTAAAATCCTTAATAATTTAAACTATTAAATAAAATAAACCAATTCAATTATTAAACTTTTTACAGGTGTATCAAATAAAAATAAAGCGTTGTTGAAGGCGAAAGTGTTACGCAGAATGACGTCAGATGATAGCGATAGCAATGAAACGAACTACGGCAACAAAGAGAACATAGACACCAATAAAGCTGCTGTCGTCATACAAAGCCGTAAGTGCCCACACAATAGTTGAACACATATGAATGAACCTATTTGCATTGCCTATATGAAGCTTATGAAATATTTCGAATGAATGTATCTTCACAGATCACGATTGCTATACTAGCAAACTCCGGACTGTGCAAAGAAGTCAACGTTGAAATATTTAGGTCCTTTAAATATGTTCTACAAAAAACATCTGGGGCTATGTTACAAATTGCACGTTTACACCGTTTTTGGCTTACAAATACTCTTTTAATGTCCGTGCCATTTCCCCAGATAATAAGACCGAATCTCAATATCTTACTAGAGGTTAAGCTACTTATATATAGTGTATATAAGTAGCTTAACCTACCTACTCATATTTAATCTGCCTGGGTGTCAGGGAATTGTTTAAAATGTGAATCCAATGCCATGTATTTATTTTAGATTAGACCAAATTCAAATATTTTACTTGCAAAAAACAGAAGGTCAAGCAAAAAATTCATCCTTGTAAAAAAAATATTGGGCAACATTATTTTTTCTAATTTCAAAGTAGTTAACTAAAACATTCGTGTAATGGATCAGAAATACCTAAAACTTAATTTTGTAACTAAGATTTTCTGTATTTACCCAAACAGGAATCAACCAGGGGCTTAAGAGACATCATCAGTATAAAAATTAGTTTTCTATACTCTATTGAACATATCCTCTGAGACAAAATGTAAAGAAATAAACCAATGTCTCTAAAACTTCTTTAGAGATTAAAGATGGCCGTTGTAACCAAACTGATTACAAAATTTCACATTACAACGTAAACTATTTGCTTTATTACTATTCTCTTCAATTTAGTAGTATTATAATGCGTTAAATGTTTGGGAATAGCCATAGTTTAAAGTCTTTTTAGTGTCCCTTTTTTATTAATTTATGACATGAATTATGACAAAGCAGTAAATATTTGACAATATTCTGACTGTGCTGATGCACAGCCAGTACACATAGCACATTTCTTTAAGCAACCTCATTCACCGTTCACCGTTATAATGCTAAGATTTGCATATCAGTCTTTGTATTCTTAATTCGGTGAGAAGTTAGTAATGATGAAAATGTCGAAATCTCCAAAAATTGCAAATAGCAAAGATATCTTTGACATTAATGATATTAGGCTTATTATTAAAAAAATGTTATATAAAAATTCAGATTTTCGAGGATACACGGCTCGGCGCAAGTGGGCCAAAGGTCGCGCGCCTCCACCGCCTAAACAACCAGCGCCACCGCCACCGACGTCACAGCAACTCATGCAGCAGTACTCTGTACAAGAGCGGGCTGCGCAACTGCAGACCTTCGCTGACCAGGTGACGGCCACATTAATAAGTATAGTGTAATCATGGGTACAGAGTATTTGATTATAACTATAGAGAGTTTGGACTGCTCACCGCCCAAGCAGCCAGCGCCGCCGACACCGACGATGCAGCAACTCATGCAGCAATACTCCGTGCAAGAGCGGGCGGCGTAACTGCAGACCTTCGCTGCCCAGGTAACGGATACTTTATTACGTCTATAGTGGTCATAGATAATATTTTTATGGAGTAGGGACGACGCGCCACCCAAGCAGCCAGCGCCATTGCCGCCGACGTCGCAAATATTCCGTGCAAGAGCGGGCGCCGCAACTACAGACCTTAAACCCCTTCCACAAGACACAATTTGATTGCTAATCTGATTGCCGATTGAATTGGGTACAATCTGGTCGTCCGTCTACACATACACTACAAGATCGTCAATTTCAGTTTTATTTGTTGCCTCTGCTGAACGGACTTGTTTGTATTAGGATGCCTCGTACCAAGAAGCAAAAAATTGGATTAATCTTGGCTCTAACTACAAATGTAGATGAGAAAAAAAGAAAAAGAAGACTGTGGACAAAACAATGGTTATTAAAAAGAAAGCAATTGAGTCACTTGAATATAGTTATATTATATTTAAGTATCTCAATTAATAAACTTAAATATAGTTATACATAAAGAGTAATATTTTTATCAATATTTTTCCACTTATTCAGCAAAATCTCTAAGGAATTATGCCTTACTTGTTTCTTTTTATATAATGGGTTAGACACATCCCAAAGGCATGGGAAGTCTTTATATATATCTAAAATCTCCTCCATTATTTCCCGTTCAGATCGAATAGACATAATATTGTCGTCATGTTGCTCCATCTTTCTTCTCAAAAGACAAGTCAACGCACACACCCGCACTGACTCTGAACGCCGCTTGCACAGTGACTACGTTAAAAAATTGGCCAGTTTTTAACGTAGTCACTGTGCAAGCCGCCGCCAAGCTGGCCGGGCCAGCATCCACACCACCCAATTTGATTGGGCAATCCCGAATCGGGCGATACCGACCATCCAATGACCTTCAATTTCATATTTCCGTCCACACAACGCAATTCGATTGACAATCTAATCAAATTGGACGTAAAATTGTATCGTGTGGACTTTAGCTGATCAGGTGACAGCTACATTAAACTTATCATCATTTATGACCAATTATGTCCCCACAGCTGAAACACAGGTCTTCCTAATGAATGGAATAGGGAGAACGAACTTTGATTCACCGATATGTACTGCAAATACAACCAGAACGAATGATTGAAATACCTCACGAAGTACGCAGGAGCTTGAGACTATAAATTTTTGGACCCTCATCTTATAACCGAATATTGCGAAAATAGTTCCCCGATCGCAAAAACAAAGGCGCTGGCCACTGCGCTGTCAAGATAAAGGTTGCCGGTAGAGATACTGGTCACTAATATAGAAGATTTCTTTTACCGTAGTTTCATCTTTTTTCCAGGTTCACGACAGAAACCAAGAGGTGCACAAGAACCTGCGTCGTAACAAGCCTGGCGTGCGGTTACAAGATGTGCAGCGTCCGCCGGACGAGTACCGCCCGCCGCCGGGATTCACGCTGGTGCCGGCCATCATAAGGGGCCAGCCGTCGCAACTCGAACGAGATGCCAGCCGCCTGTCTAGGTAACACTCGCGGGGATCGTGCGGCGACAGGACGAGTACCGCTCGCCGCCGGAGTTGACGCTGGTGCCGGCCTTCATAAGGGGCCAGCCGTCGCAATTCGACCGCGACGCCAGCCACCTGACTAGGTAACACTCGCGGGGATTGACCGGCTACAGGCGAGTACCGCCCGCCGCCGGGGTTCACGCTGGTGCCGGTCATCATAAGGGGCCAGCCGTCGCAGTTCGATCGAGACGTCAGCCTCCTGTCTAGGCAATACTCGCGAGGATCGTGCGGCTACAGGACGAGTACCGCTCACCGCCGGGGTTCATGCTAGTGCCGGCCACCATGAGGGGCCAGCCGTCGCAGCTCGAGGAGACGTCAGCCTCCTGTCTAGGCAACACTCGCGAGGATCGTGCGGCTACAGGACGAGTACCGCTCACCGCCGGGGTTCATTCTGGTGCCGGCCACCATAAGGGGCCAGCCGTTGCAGCTCGAGGAGGCGTCAGCCTCCTGTCTAGGCAACACTCGCGAGGATCGTACGGCTACAGGACGAGTACCGCTCACCGCTGGGGTTCATGCTGGTGCCGGCCACCATAAGGGGCCAGCCGTCACAGCTCGAGGAGACGTCAGCTCCCTGTCTAGGTAACACTCGCGGGGATCGTGCGGCTACAGGACGAGTACCGCCGGGGTTCATGCTGGTGCCGGCCCTCATAAGGGCCAGCCACTTGTCTAGGTAGCCTGCTTACAACCAGTGTACGCAGGGGCTTAATGTTGGCTTTCAATATTATCGTGATTGTAAAGGCCAAAACACACAGAAGACGGAGACAGGCCGGAGGCGTTGGCGGTTTATTTGTATAGTTCGAATTAGCATGAAAGATAACACAAACAAACCGGAGCGGTGGCTAGGCGGCGGGTGCAGTGCCGGCGCGGGGGCATGCTACTAGCGGTTTATTCAGTTGTAAGTATTTTTTTACAAAATTTTTCATCTAATAGTGAAACCTATTTACAATGGATTTCCGGCTCATTAGACATTTTTGTAAACTTACCCGACAAAACGCGCGAGCCAAACACAAGGGGTACGTACCGAAACGCCTCCGTGATGCGACCGCCACGCCTGACACGGTTCTCGACCGCCACCACTCCGCCTCCGATTTCTGTGTGTTTCGGTCTTTATGGTCGTCCATCCTTTTGTAACTTGCATATTTCTTTATACCGTAGTGGGACACTAAACACTGAGGTTCACGATACATTTTTTTATCGATTTTAAGAGTACAGCCCCTGACCTTTGGAACTCGCCGGTTCTCTTTCCTTTTTCCGCGACGCTCTAATCCTGTTTGGGTGTTGGTTAATTGTGTATATGCATTTTTTTTACTATATTTAATTTATTAATATCAATTATTGGAATACATAATTTTTGTTTAATATATGCATGCTTACTGAAACCGGTTTTGGATTATATGCACCAGTCCGTCGCCTGAATTTTTGGAAAGTCCTGCTCGTCCTTGGGATGAACCTCTGAAGAATAAAAAGGACTACGTTATTATGCGGCCCAGGTTAGACGTGTTGGATTTTTATATTAAAATGCTATGCAGTATCGTTTAGAATTAAAAAACGACGGGTTGCACTCCAGAAGTGCCGGCAGAAGTGAAAACTTGAATATTAACGTTGTGCATTTTTGATATATTGGAATGGTTAGGGAATAATTTTGCACGCATTGCTTTAATTATCAGTAACACTTTATATACACGAATTTTACGAATACACAGCAGTGTGGCCACTACACAGACGGTCGAGCCATCAGCAGTCACCATCCATGGATGCGCGTGGCACGCTGTAACATAAAAACACACGAACATTCGCGCAAGCGCCCTGCGCCGCCTAAACGAAACAGCAGGCGCAGGCATACATTTTCGCCGCGCCGTAGAAAGAGAGGGGGATACTTCCTCTCCTACGCCGCACCGGCTGTCTACTCTCCATCCGTCTTACGAATTTTCGATCAGGACACGTGTCCTGACACGAGTTTAACATTTTTACCCAGTACAAAAAAGTGTACAACGCCGCTAAAGAAGTTTTCACTTCAATAATATCAGCATTTTGTTTTAATGTTGCGCATGTAGACCTGGTATAAATACCAGCTCGAATTCTATGTAGAAATGACAAGTTTTTTACGCAACGGAATTGTCGCCGCTGGGATAAGCTTACCCAGGACATGCCAATTGTCTCGTGACCCCAATCGATATGGACTCGTCAATATAGACGCACACGCAGGCAGGGAATTCCACTGATTGGCTAAAATCGTATCTAAAGTTGTGAAACTTGTTGTAATCATAAGGTATAAGAGGTAGGGCATAGAGGATTTTCCGCTTGAATTGGAGTCTGGGCGCTTGTCTGGCGAAGTAACCTCTTAATATAAGTTCTGTGGTGCCCGCTTACCATTAGGCGGACCATATGGTTGCTGCCACCCTTTTAGCATAAAAATGTTTCAGTTCCAGATATCAGAACAAGGATCACGCAGAGCACCGTTCGCCTTCGAATCAGAACCGATACAATCTTCCTTGCAGCCGGCAGTGCGGCGGACTAGTCAGGTACGACCGCCCGACTGATTACAAGCGATTTTGGCCCTAACTTACTAATGCAATACGATCTCTTTTGGCGCATGCTTCACTTTCTGGAATAGGAGTAATAATGGGTATGGAAATAAAACTCCTTATTAATAACCATTGTTAGCCTACACGCATGTTGTTTTTCGTCACCATTACTAAAAACCTTCGCTTATTACTAAAACTAAAACTTAACTTCGAACCCTTAGAACTAGAATTGAAATTGGTAAAGTCCTCACTATTAGGTCGTAACGTGTTAAACCCAATAGCACCAACTAATGATAAAATATGAGTTTTTGGAATCAATTTCATTTGAAATCGAAAGTTCAATAATTTATTACTGCTTTAAGACTTGAAAAGAATTTTCCATAAATTATTTATTTAAAATCCCATGTGAATATTGTTTTTACAGACGTGCACTTCTATGATATTTGTAGAACGCCATCTGGTAAAAACGCAAGAAGATAACTACGTTCTTCACAGTCAGAACTTTTTAGAACACTGCCCCAAGCACGAACAACAAGCGAGAAAGTACTTATTAATTTCGCCATCGTCAAAGTTTCTATGGCAAGAGCTAGTTTGTTCTCACGTCCGGTAGGAGCGCTGCTTAGTTTCGATGGAAACTTTGACATGGCGATAAGAATACTCTCGCTAAGATGTTCGTGCTTGGGGTACGGATCCGTGTGGGGTGTTAGATTTATAAGATTGCATCTTTTATTGTACTGTTCATCATAAGTACTTGTAATTTATAAAATGATTTCCTATATGAAGTATGAAATGAACAAATAGGAAAATCCAGAATCTTGTATGTAATATAAGGTTTTATATGGAATGCGTAAATCAGACACTATGCCTAATCAGATGTAAAATATATTATTTAGATGTTGCCTGAGTACAAATTTATGAACATTTGATAGACATTTATTGACTATCGATGAACTTTTGTAAGAATGTTATTTTGAATTTTCTAAATCAATTGTGATTGTATACGGCTATTCCAACAAAAGAAATCGGCATCATCATCATTGAAACATGTATACAAAGTATTGATCTTATTGCAATATTTATACCCACAATAAATACTTACAACGCTAAAAATCTTTCACTATGACTTCATAAATAACAAATCAAGCTATTAAAGTTTTGTGTTAAAGGACATGTTATATTTTTGTATGGTCGCTGGGCTATTACAGTGGACATAAAGAAAATTATTTTTATAAAAGGATGAAAAATAACGCCTTTTGCATTATTAAATTTTATTTTAAATAATATACATTAAAAAAAGTCAGTAGATTTTTATTGGGCGATTATACATTATTGTTATATTTTTTTTAAATAATAAAATTATACCAGCGTTGTGCAAATATAAAATAACATTTAAAAATGGTGACCTTAAAATATTTTTATCTGACAATCTTAGGCAATCTTCTCTATCATTGATAGTGGTTCAAAAACAATTTTTTAAATAAACTTGTACCAAAAAAATAACATTTACTTTATTGTTTACCTAACATTACTACCTTTCCCGGTCTGCAGCTAGTCGTTTATATTTATTGCTATACATTAGAGTTAATAGAAATGAAACCGTATAATATACCGTATAATACTGTGTCAGACAGCAAATTTCATGACTCAAAAAATACTTGTTGCTTCGAACTGTAAACTTTATTGATCCAAATTTTGGCATGATTATAAACTAAATTTGTCAGTAACTACCTAGTAGGTAGTTATTCTTATCTAGGCTCTTTTAAGACATAATAAAAAGAGTGAATATTGTCAAAAACATTCTTAATCTTAGAAGAATCATGCTAGATTTCAGTCCATTAGTTGTCCGACCGCCGAGTCGGCGAAGTAGCAATTTTCTATCAGCTGTTTTCTTCCTCAAAAACGTACAATAGACATACATTTTGTGTAAACAAAAGAGATGCATACATTAATAGATGATCACTGACTGTTCACACTGCCGGCGAGAACTCGCTCCACCACGCATCACTTTTGTTTACACGGAATGTATATCTAGTGCTTCTTGAGCGAGAAAATAACCGATAGTAAGTCGCATCCTCGCCGGCGATCGGACAACTGCCTTGCCATACCTAAATGACTAACCTACACTCTTTTCCCATATCTGCAGTAACAAAATCAACGAACTCGTGAAGCACGTCCAGAAATCCGAAGCGCCGCCGCGGCCCGTATTCAATCCCGCGTACGACCCCGAATCAGATCTCCGGCGGATCTTACGCAACTCACCCGAAATACTTGCCACACCCGTGTTCAGCTCCGACGACGACTACACCGAGGGCCCGTTCCGGTTCAAGCAACTCCTGCGACCTACACTAGGACCGACAGAGAGTCTCCGCAAGAGGAAAGTGCGTAACTCCCCCGGCCAAAGTCCATGGCTGTCAGATAGTTCACAAGACAGCACGAGTTCTAAACAGCCCTCTTATAATAAAAGAAGACCGCAAATCAGTATGGGCGTTTATTACAATTGAATTGATACTCGTATTTTCCTAGTCCAAGATGAACTACTTCGAATATCTCTGAGTGGTCCTAAATTTGAGCAAAATCAATTCCATCTGTTTAGTTATCTACGTTAGGACCAACAGAGAGTCTGCCTGTAAGAGGAAGGTGCGCAACTCCCCCGGACAAAGCTCTTGGCTATCGGATAGCTCACAAGACAGCACGTTTACTTAACAGCCCTCTAATATATAAAGCAAATCAGCATGGGCGTGTATTACAATTGATATTTTCATGGTTGAAGTTGATCTACTTCGGCTTTTTAAAACGGTGAATCTAAACTTGTATCGAATCAGTATCAAATTTCCAAATGCTAATAGTGGAACATTATTAAAAGCTAGGTATATTGTTACACTAGATTGACATTTTGCTCGGGTCTAAGTGTTCTTCCAGATGATGGAGATTGATGAGTTCTTAAAAATAAAAAGACCTCTTTACGCCCTTTTCCGGGCGGCGGCATGAGGGTGGAGGTAAACTATTTACAATATCTCAAATGAAAAGGTCGACATCAAGTCTAGGGATTACAGTACTGGTCAGTGATCCTAGCAGTCACGTAAAAAGCAGTTTTTTGTGAAGGAAAAATGTCATAGTTGTTAAATGATTATTTCCATATAGAATGATAGGAAGTGTATAGCCTCCGTCCATATTTATTTTAAGAGTGATGAGTGTTAGACGCTGCGCAAATGTGGACACTTTTGTGTCTTGTGTCAGTTACAAGCTATCAATGATTTTTTGATTTCTACAGAACCATAATTAAATCAGCCATTCATTAAACATTTCTTGTGTCTAGTTGCTTCGACTTTACGTTGACGATCAAAAAGTGAAAATTCGTCAGTTGAAGACACAAGCAACATTAACTTTTCTTACAAGTGTACAGGGCTGAGCCGCCCCGGACACAGCAACTACGGTTTCCTGTGATGCTGTGCCGTGTCGGTTCAAAAAGTGTCTACGTTTTCGCAGCGCCTTATAATATTTACTAAGAAGCAATCAGTTATTCTGAATATTTTATTACGACTTATACGGAAACAAAAATATATTGTGTGTTTTTAGTAATAAATTGAGATGTTAATTAAACGTTGTGATGACGATATATATTTATGAGGCGTTTACTGTTTATAGATTGAACCACCTATATAACTCTTAAAAGTTTAAGATAATAACTTATATTATTTAGTATTAATCTTTATAAAGAAATAAAACCAAAGTCTTACTTGTTATATTAGTAAAATAAGCATACTTACAATAGATCTTTATTAGCATCTTACCTATTCTCTGTAACGTTTTTCGTAGGCTAAAAATTGATCTTGGTATTTATCAGTATTATATTTTTTATTGAACCTTGAATACTGTAAAACTTAATAAATCTGGAATAACTTCTCACACTTAAGTTGATTTTATAAAGTGTGAGTTTGATAATGCCATCAAATGTTGGATTATTTGGATCATTGACAACTTTTGTGATAATGTGCCAATGATTATAATAAGTTTACATACTGTTAGGTAACTGTTTGAAAACGAATAAATATAAATTAATTGAAATTGTTGTCTCCTTTATTGCATGGTATCAACATTAGTAAACTTGTTGTTAAGATTCTTCTTATTTGACTTGTTCACGAATTCATTTTGGGTGACGAATATTTTTCAAATTAAATTTAAATGACTCCGTTTGCCAATTGGAAAAAAAAATCAAACGTTAATTGATATGGCAATGGTACAGAGAAGTATAATTATGTATCTTCATGCTTTTAGTCCATCTCAAATACGAATACCAATCTTGTGTACCTGACACTCCCGTCCGTCCAGTAACATCCTCTTTGTGTGGTGACAACCGTCGAACATATAGATATATTAGAGGTATATTTAGAAACATGCAATGCCAACCAACATACCGACGCAGAATTGTCAAATATTGGCTTACAATACTCACATTTCTTTGATACCAAGGTACTACATATATACCATAGATACAAACTTATGCTTGGGCCATATCACAAAGATATAATAAAAAGTCTCGCTTGATGCTAAACGCAGAGCAAATCGCTTGGTAAATTTTCCAGTATACCAGACCTTATGTGGACAACTCCAATTTTAGCATCCTATCATCTCTCTAATAGGCCAAGATCCCTGAGCCACCAGACCTTACTTATTTTTTGATGGACAAAATATGTACATTCGAATAGTAGGAATTAGTCTTTACCAAAGATTTAAATCGTTACAATTAACGTATAAAAACGAGCTACCTTGTGCCTTGGCGTGGGTCTGCAATTCTCGGGTATCAGGTGGTATAAGTACGTAAAAGTTTTACTCACTTTACTTAGGCCTGTATTTTAGAAAGATTTTCAGTAATTAATCTAGTCTTGAGCATAGTCAGAAAGGGATGTCGCTATGTGCTAAATATAACAACATCCCTTTCTAACTATGCTCAAGACTAGATCAATCACTGAGAATCTTTCTATAATACGGGCCTAAGTCTTGTATGATATTTGTACGTATGTTATAAATAATTTGAAATTAATGCAGCTACACATTCTGTCAGCAGTATTTATTGCCAGACCCTAAAAATGTCAAAACCAAAATTTATTTAATATTATAAAGAGGAAAGATTTGATTGTTTGTTTGCATTGAATAGGCTCCAAAACTACTGAACCGATTTGAAAAAGTATTTCTCATTTAGAATCCTGCATTATCCCTGATGAACTGCTATCGAGTATTTTCAAAAAAGTTAGGGTTCCGTATGAGAACTTCGATAATGTAACCCAACGTGTGAAAAAAATAACCTTTTGTCGCGAACGCTGCGGAAGTCATTAAAGCAAAGTGATGTACTACAGTTTTATAAGAGGAGATAAATAACTACAGAAAAATCGTAATACCATAGGTCTGTCTATTACAGTTTTCACAACTAGACCTCAAGTTGTGCCAAGTTGTGCGGTCTATTTGTTCTCTGCGGTTTCACCCACGTTAATTTGAGGAAAAAGGTTATATAGTGAGTCCAACTTAAAAGATGGACATAATGCTGTCATGGACTTTTTATATAACTTTTAAATGGAAACAATTCCGTCATCGACATCGATTTTAGTGTAACTTTAACCGTTTATGTTTAAACGGTAAAGTTTACGCGCACGCAAAGGAAGCTCACAAATGGAATATTTTTACCCGTTTTTGGAACATTTTTTTTCGATGCTGCGCTCCTACTGGTCATAACGAGAAAATATAGCCTATAGCAGTAAAGTCTACACCGAAGCGAAGCGAGGGCGAGGCACTAGTCTATACTTCTATACTTATATTATAAAGAGAAAAGATTTGATTGTTTGTATTGAATAGGCTCTGTAACTACTGGACTGATTTGAAAAAATCTTTAACGTTTAGAATTTTACATTATCCATGATGAACAAATACTATAGAGCATTTTCAAAAAAGGTAGGATCCCGTGTGTTAACTTCAATAACGTAACCCAAGCCAGAGTGTGAAAAAAATGCCAAAAAAATAACCTTATGTCGTTTACGCTGCGGAAATACGCTACAAAAAAGTCTGCGATACCATAATATGTATAACTGTTATAAAAACTATTTTGTTTTATATGCTTTATCTTAACTTATGTGTTACAAGATCATTACTTAACCCTCTAGGATTCTAGGTAATTTCCATTGAGTGTCGCCACTCTACAACCGTTCAAAATAATAGTAACAAAGTCCTACCAGCAAAGGATAGTGTAGCTAAGAACAGATAATCTGAAATTTTTCAAATATGTCAAGTCAGCTGATCCTTTTTTTTCAGTCAATAAAAAAACTTACAACACCCACGTAAAAAAATTTATTTCAATAATTTACAACAAAAAACGTTATCAGCATAAAGCTCTAGTGATATCCACTTTCTCTCTTTCGTGGTGGGTCATGGCCCAATCTCCCTATTCCATCCATTGGGAAGTCCTGTGCCCTAGCAGTGGGGACATTAATAGGCTGATGATGATGATCTGTATCTTTAATTTGAAATTTAATTAAAAATTTGTCAAGACAGCTGTTCCTTTTTTTCTGTCAATTATAGTACTCTTACTATACGCACGTATAAGTTTATATTTCAATAATATACAATAAAAATTATTAATAATGAAGTCACAACTAAAGGAATAAGCAGTCACAACTAAAGGTCCCCTGCGGTTTCACCCGCGTTAATTTGAGGAAAACGGTTATAGTAGCCAAACTTAAAATATGGGCATATGCTGTGGAGGACTTTATTACAGAACCTTTAAAGGGGAACAATTCCGCCATATCTAACTTAAATCATTTAAGCAGCGCACGCAACGGAAACTCAATGGTATATTTTTACCCGATTTTGCAACATTTTAAATCATTAATTCGCTCCTACAGGTCAATCAATCAGTGCTCAATAAACGCATTATCTAAAACATTATCAAAAAGTTTAAAAGAAAATATTACAAGAAAAAAATTCACGCAGATCAGGCAGCAGGCGGGACTCACACCCGCACTTTTTGTTATCCGGGCGAATGCACTGACCAATTATTATGCTACCACGGTCCTGATGTCCGTGTCGAATTCTTTTTGGGACTGACATATAAGTTCTTTAAACATTGTTACCTGTCCACTGCCGTTTAAGTAAGGCAATTCTCAAGGCTTTATTGAATACGATTATGGTAGATCAACATTGTGCTTCTTAAATAGACTCATTATGAACGACCACACATTGATTCCGTAATTTGCGATTTTCATCCCAGATAGTTAAAATCAACTTATGACATTTTTATCACATAAAAATTTCGCAACAAATAAAACAATAAAAATACTATTACAAATTATTTTCCCACAGCTTCAATGAAATTTATAGTCAATTAAAAGCTTGTAATAAAAATACTTTCTTATGCTTATTCCTAATGAATGCCTGAATCTCATGGTCATATTAATAGCAAACAGGATTATAGCAAAACAGACGCGAGACGGCCACGTCCGTGTTGCTCTATCTATGCAAACGAGTTTCGATTATACAACGTACAGCATCGATAGTTTCGTTGTTCACATGGGTAGAGAGGACGACTTTCGAAATGCAATGGTACTGTGACACGAATGTGTTTGAATTCTGCAAACCAACTTTTAAGATTACAGTTGTCTTACACTATACTCTCATGACTAATGATGACTCAAACTACGCTCATATAGGTAGTCAAAAAGTAAATATTAACTAGTTCAATCTATGTAAAGTAGACACACCATTTTAAAATTCGAATACGTATAGATGAAACCAACTGCATTATAAAAGCAAAAAGAGACAAATTTCAAATGTCGTTAGTCCCTGAAAATTTTGGTGTGCCCTATGAATTTACCAAATAGTATTCAAAACATTTTCCTGGTTTGGTTCGGTCCCTTGGCCGCAACAAAGAGTAGGTATGTTAAGCAAAGTGCATATTGTGTTATTCTGTCGGAGATGTTCGAAGAAAGAACACTCTATTGAAGATGGGATTCTGGTATAAGGATAAAAACTGAGATCTAGAAATCATCCTGCCACAAAAGTTTCTCTTATTAATTTATTCTGAAATGGATTTATGGAAAAATTTTGGCCTGTTCATAAAAGTTGTAATAAGCAATAACGATTTATAATACTTAATCTTGATCTAAGCCCACAGTCTGCATTACTAAGGGACCCAGTTAATCAAGTTTAATAATTCTAATTTGAATAAAGATTTTTTTCATTTCTCCCGCTCATCCTCATTTATGTTGCGAAGGTCTACTGTAACAAAGTTTTTTTTGGCGAGCTTTCCTCAAATGTTTTTTTTTTGGGTATATATCTATCGCTTTATCGAAAACTGGAAGTCATAATAATACCTCTACCAACTACATTCTATAATGTTGCGTTCATAAACACGGAGTGAAGATTAGGGCTTAGGAAAGGTAGCATTAATTTTTGCCCCATTAAATATTATCCTCATTTGGAGGCTAAGTACTTCTACTTAGCATAAAGGATGATAAGTCCGTTCCATATTAATTTTATGACAATATTTTTGCCTTTCTTTCTGTTACAGACCTATGGTTTCACGCTTAAAACTCTGAACCAATATTTATGTAAAAATAAAATAAAGTGTGATTAGGGGTGTCATTCTGTATGGGCATGTGGAACCAATTATATTATTCAAAGGCGATCCATACTGATGCACTAAATCGCCAAAAATACAACGTATCAATTTACATTAATAGATCCCATTCATTTAACTGGTATAAAATCATTACACGAGAATACAAATTCAGAACCCAAAGGAATACGATTGCTTGGTTATGGAAGTATAATTGTTATTCCATCTATCTCGTATTACTTATAACTCATCTTTGATTGATTTTCAACCTGCAATATATATGTCCAGATACCGTCTGTTCTGTTAATACTTTTTTTTATAGTTACACCATTACACCCAATGTTAATAATGGTAAATGGACTCCAAACGCGAAGATAGCTGGTGTAGTAGTTTTCTTGCGACACCTGCGAACTTGCAAACCTGAAAGATATACTGGCAGTCTATCTTTCAGGTTTGCAAG